GTACATGAGTCTGTGTGGAGGAGTAGGGGGTGAGGGGGGTGGTCAATCAGCCGAACAATGAGTTCAACTCACAAACAGGATCCCTCTGTTTCCTGAAGTAGAGACTGTCTCCTCAAACAGCACACACACAGCTGACTCTTGTACGTCTGCACACATCCTTAAAGGCTGTGTATGTACACTACGTTCTCTCTTACAGACACACCCACAATCTCTCCCCCACAAACACCATGTGTGCATTCAGATGTCTATTTGTGCTCATTATGGGCAAATTCTGATCTATGGGTTTTGTTTCCTCCGTAATTACAGACAACAAAGTCTCAGCTAACATGCAGTCTGCAGACAGTGTGCATACTCAGCATATAAACACACAGGATACACACAGCACTCTTGGGGGCAGTCAGCAGCCTGTGCACTTTCTACCATCAGTAAAAACACACCTGTCCCTGTCCCAGCTGCTGTTTACGAAGAGAACAAGAGGGAAAGAAGGAATGTGCTTCCCTCAGTTTTCCTGTCAGACCCTCACCCTTCCCAGCCTTTTGCATTGCTCCTCCTCTCTTAAATATCTTATCTAATTATTCCCTTGGTCAGCTCCTCTTCTCGAACACTGTCATATCTTTTATTTATCTATATTTCCTAAATCATATCTCTTCTCATATCTTCTTTTACCCTCTCTTTATCAGATTCCCCTTTTAACTTGCATTCCTCTCAAATGACTCGGTGGCCCCTCCATTCTTCTCCTACACTTGTGAAATAGTCTCACATCATGTTTGTACTCAGATCATCTGCAGTGATTATCAGGTCTGTCTTGTGAAACTGTCAGCCAGTCTGAGATTTAAGTCGATTCAATAAGTAGAGCTACAGCACAAGCTTTCTCAAACAGGAATTATTTCAATTCAAGCTTTTTCGGTAGATTTTGCTGAAAGTCCGCAATAAACATTCACACTGAAGCTTTCTCTAAGGCCTTTTTACCGGTGTACATGTCTGTGCAGGCACCACCTTGTTTGTAAAAGCAGTTGCTGCTGTAGCTATATATGGGGAACCATGTGCAGTGTAGCAAGTTGTTTTCTATTCCCAGTTTTACCAGCTCTCCCACCTTAGTTTACAGCATTTCCCCCTTCAGAGCCTGGTGGTTGCACAGCTGACATGCAAGGTACCACACACCTTTTTTTTAATACACACAACAATTTCAAACATGTGACTTTTCAGCTCTTTTACTATTAACAGTTGTTGCTGTTAGACATTTGCTCTGTACGGAAATAGATGTAAAGGCAGCCCTCCGGTGTGTCCTAAGTATATTGTGTGGTTCAGTATGTCCTGTCTCTGTCTTCTATTCCTCCTCCTTCCTCTTCTTCCTCCTCCCTCTGCATCTGCCGCCCTTCAGAATGGGAACAGTGAGTGGAGTGATATATGGACAGCTAGTAATTAAGCTGTCAGAAGCGGGCTATGGACCAAAATACTGTCAGCACGGATGAACATACACATTTCACTTTGATATAAATCATTTGTCAGGTATCCTCCTATCAGCGGTCCAATAACTGTGCTTGGCACTACCGGACGCAACAACAGCATTGAATGTTACAAGCTCCAAGTTTCATTTAACTGGCTTCAAAAGTTATATTTGCATTCAAATCACAAACGTCTTCTTACTCTTGTTATGTGCTATAAATCATGTCGTACTTGCATAATGAATACAGTCACAAAGCAGGTTACAGTTTCCAAAAATATAGTTAACCATCAAAGCTAACAGGTGGTTCTGAATAGTTAAGGACTTTATGGAAAGTTAATATCTTTCCAGTCTAAAAATGACACACACACTCACCCATAAATACTCACAGAGCCTGAGGGGATTTGGTCCTGTCTGAGCATGCTTTTTACTTTGGCATCCATCCAAAACACACACATGCTGCAGATTTTGTTGAGATGTTTTTGAGTGCAACTATAAGGTGGATTTGATTTGTGTGAGTGTGGACTTCGGTGCAGTGACACACAGACATGTGTTTGGTGATGTCCACAAGCCTCAGTGAGCAGTGGAGATCCATTTTGTTTGACAGTTGTAGGCGACTGACAGTAAAAAGTGTAGACCATAGTTTGAACTTGTAGATTTATTTGGGGGATGAAATGTTGTGGAGAAGTGTGTGTCTGGGTGTGTGTGCAGAACACACATGTCCACTGTGATGTGCAGAGGTGCTGAGGAAAGACAGGAGACACAGCTGTTCAGGGGACTTGGAGTCTGTGCTTCTTGCATTAGCAAACATTTTTGCAGCTTCCTGCACTGTATGCACATTTAAAAGTTTGCTACATCTCATTGTGTGTAGGACTTATTCTGAATGGCAGCATTTTGGCTTCATTTAACTCTAACACATACAAAAAACATTGTTGGCTATTCAAATAGTGGTTTAATTCCAGGTAATGACTTAAAACAGACAATCTCAGCCAGTGACAATAGCTTTTCCATTACAGAATTACATATAAATGTTCATGGTAGATATATGGAAATTATGTTGAAGCAGCATAGGTAAAAATAACTTTATTTCACTATCATCTGTATTCTTCTGAAGCACCAAGGTTTCCCCCGTTATTGGTAGCCATACATACTGTAGTTTATTTGCTTATTTATCTTATCTTCTGACCATCTTGTTCATCATTAGAAAATATATAAACACATCCATTGAATCATCTTACAAGGACCATGGCATTACACAACATACTTCATTTTGGGTGAAACTGGAGTCAACACGCTTGCGTGCAAACACTGGCTTAACTTTTATAGGGAGGAGTCTTGTCAGGTAAACTATGTAAACAAAACTGAGCTGTAGCTAAGTAATGATGCAACCACCAAAACCCTGAGGAGTTGGATTTAGGACTACAGAGAGGGAAAACAAATGTTTTATTTTCATTGGCACATCTTGGGGTTTGATTGATTGATTGGTATGTCAATGCTTTCACGTGGCTGTAAATGCAATATAGCGTGATTATATGACCCTCCCCAAGTTCATTTTCTCAATAGACAGATGAAAATGAACAGAAGCACCAAGCACGTGTACATATGCTGAGTGATATAGCCTACATTGTCAGATACCCATATAAATAGGTAGCCTACATATAATAGTGGAAAGAGGAACGAGGGGAGTGAGATAAATATTCATCCAGGTGTGACACAATGAATAGCAAGGATTAGCCCAGAGGAACCAAACAGAAGCTGAGTGTCTTAATTTATATCTGACCTGTCATCACAAATGTGTGACCAGACAAGTCGGTGTTGACACATCATGCGTGATGCACCTGTTGCTGACTAACCTTTTTCCACACAAAACACAGGAAACCGACAAAGCAGAAACAATGTCGCCCCCTGATGGTTCATGTGTATTATTGCATACTCCTTTAGCAGAAAGTGTATTCTTCCAGAGCTCCAACACTAGTGTGATTGCAACAGCTCCTTTGTTGATGTTAAAAGACAATAACAAATCGCACAATACAACCATTGCGCTGTTACACAATCCCTATACTGAACTCTTTCACCCTGTTGCTATGTGTCACTCTGTCTGGGTGAAAATAGCCTGTTATGTTCTTCTACTACCAGTCCAACTGGCTCACCTACCTTCGTGTTGCAGTCTGTATCAGGTGTCCGGAGGCGTTTGTTGGCCTTGTACAAAATGGGCTGATTAAATGTAAACCCTGTGGCACAAAAGATCCACTTAACCTGTTCATGCAGATCTGGCACACTTGAGTGATTAGGGGCACGCTTGCTCTTACACGCAGGCATGCCCACACACTCATACAGTTTTTCCATGACATTTAAACAAGGAGAGTCTGTTTTCATTCATCTGTTCTCTAATACGCTGTTTACAGTCAATACAAATCTGACAGCTTTATAGCTTGTGGCAATTAAACTAACTGTTGCATTCGACCCAAAACGTGTTTGTCATTACGGCTGCAGGGCAGGAAATGTGACAGGTGAAACAAAATGTTAAAACCAAGAAAGTACTTTGTGAATCAAATTAAAAGCCTGTAACAATTACAAAACAGGAAAACATTAGGTAAATTACAGGTTTCTGTCTGAACTATATCATGGAAAAAGACTTTTGAGTGATATTAATTAGAAAAGAGAGGATTGCTACTGTATAAAAGACAGGTCCTTTATGAAACAAAGCGACTCTGTATAAGAGATATCAGTCATTTATTGTTTTTCTTATGATATGATAGAAACATTCGGCCATTCATTAATCTAAATGAAGAGATTCTGATTTATGGGATGCTACAGTCTAAAGTCGTTCAAGTGCTGTGCTATAACACAAGTCTAGACCCCGCGTTCAAGAGAGGACACACACACACACACACACACACACACACACACACACACACACACACACACACACACACACACACACACACACACACACACACACACACACACACACACACACACACACACACACACACACACACACACACACACACACACACACACACACACACACACACACACACACACACACACACACACACACACACACACATACACACACACACACACACACACACACACAGTTCAAATATACACCAGATAATCATAATGTATATGAAAATACAGTCTAAGCCAGTTGATTTTTAAATATTACAATAAAGACAATCTCCTGCACTGAAATGATACATAACTGGGCTCTTACATTTTCCAAAAATACATCTTGATCAGCTAGAGTATAAGTAATAAGCTAATGTCAACTACAGTAGCAAAAACAAAGCTATAGAAAAACATTTTGAAGTCATTCAGAGCCCATAAAATAGACCTCTTTCATTAGTCTACTTTATCCATCCATTTCTATTAAAATCACATCTCACGTCAAGCAAACAGCACACTTTAATACTGGACAGTAGGCCATGTGCATTGTCGAAATCTGAAACACGGAAAGTATTCACGTTATGAAGTCGGTGAGCATTTTGAGAACATTATTCTTCAGAACCTTTTTGTTAGTGTAGCATCTCTTCTGAGAACATTGAGGCAACTGTGAGCGTGTTTATTGAAATGCCACACATATCCATTTTGAAATGCAAAACAACAACTTCATAAAATTCCACCTAGGACTTTTCAGATTGTGAGACATGACATAATGACGTGAGCCTCCAGAACATTACATTTAACTACCGCAGTAAATTCACAATCTCTTATTCTGAATTATATACACACCGTTAACACTTTGTTGAGGCTACATAAAACAATCAAGTTATAAAATTAGACATACAGTACATCTGAGGTGCTTTTACGAGGCTTCATTTATCTGTATATATGCCAGTAAGGAATCCTAGTTACACTTGCATGCAACATTTTCGTCCAGTCATTCTGGAAAAAATGAAGACGTGTAAAAAAGGGCAGACTTTCTTCTTATGCTGCAAACAGATAAACCTTTTTTAAAGGGGATTACTTCACCCTGCCAACATAACTCTGCATAGTCTACAATCACTTCAAAGTCCATAGGAGCATGGCAAGATTGAGAATAAAGAAAGCAGGAAAACCAAATAACCAAAAGTCAGACTTGATATTCAGGCCAAGTGCAAAAGCAAAAGCACATCTGATATTTAGATAAAGTTCTCAAGGCAATTAGTTCTGAACTCAGATTAAGTGGTGAATAAAAACCACCTTTAGCTCTACAGACATCAGGAAAACTGAGTGAACTGTGCACATAAACTGCCCTCACCACTATTTATTTGCTGAGATTTGTTGCACGTGTTTGGATAGTTACCCTGCGTGGTGGCGGCTCTTCGACGCTCCGGTTTGCCACGAGGTCCTGCAGCTGCAGGGCTCCCCCGCCGATGAAGCAGAAGGCTGGACACACAGGAGAGGAACAGTCCATGTGCGCCTCCCACAGGATCCGCAACGAGTGGGCATCGTAGAAAGTGACACGTCCTTTGTCACAGTCCAGACACACTCCCAGTCGGGGTGGCAGGGGAGCAGTGTGAGGGTGAGGCAGGTTATTATGGTTGCTACTATGGGAGTGCACTCCCCCCAGGCTATGGCTGTCCCCCTGGGTATGAGTGTGACCGTGTCCTTGAGGAAGCAGGATTTTGCCCATTCCCATTGTGAGGAAGCAGTAGGGAGGAGAGTCCTGGCCGTCCTCTGCCCCACTGTCATGGCCACTGTCTGGGTCACAGCTTTCGGGAGGCAGAGGGAAGGAAAACATTAGGCTGGATATGTAAAATAATGTAAAGTACACCTTAATTCTAGCGTTACACCTCATTGAAAATTCAACACCTTTTTTTTAATTTTTCCAACAAAAAGAATGACCCTACTCCTACTAGAGACCGGTTGGAACCACTGTATTCTTAGTGAGTTAAAAGGTAATATATTTTTGAGTATACACTATTAGTTTTACTAAGAGTATGTATTGTTCATTAGTAAGGGAACACACAGGGAGGTTTTTTCTAGTATGTACTGTATGTATGTATATATCTAGAAAGTTCAGAATTATGGCTGCAAAACATATAGATGGATAGGCGTGTTATACTATCAATAGTTCTTCCAATTGATGGGACAGAGGTCCATCCTGTTTGAGTGGTATAGTGCATTATATTTGTGGGCATAAGAAATTATCTTGGTCGAAGATGTAGTAATATTTAAGAGGGTAAAATGTAGTTACCGAGGGCTGGCCATGTCCTGAGGGAGATGAAACCATTCTTGTAGCTTAGCCTCCTGGCCTACTCCTACCTGCAAGACAGACGATCAGAAAGACACAGATCATTGGTCTCATCCATTTTGCATGTGTTACAAAGCTGATTACAACAACATATTATAATACCAAACTAACTGCATCCCCCTCACCTTAACCAGGTAGGAACCAGGCTCCACAGAGCAGGCCCAGTAGTGTCTGCCTTGATTGACAGACAAGTCGCCCACTAGCAGGTCGGAAGTCAAGTGGCATGAAGTGAGTGTGCGGTCTGCGGCCTGCAGGAGGGAGAGGCCTGGCACACTGCGGGCATACGTCTGGCCTTTACCCAAAGCCAGCCTGTCAGCGTGCAACCCCCAGCGAGAGTGCAAGGAGAAACTCAACACTGAGAGGGCGGAAGAAGAGGGATATAGGGAAGGAAAGGGGGGGGCAAGAGGGGGGAGAGAGGAGATAAATGTACAGTAAGGGAGGTGTGGGAAAGGAGTCAGGAGGGAGAAGCGGTTAGATCCTGAAGCTGGGACAGGCAGGCTACAGCAGGCCTAAACGCATAACAGAATAAGAGCGCAAAAAGATTTGAAGGCAGATCAAGAGAAAAAGTTCACTCGAGAGGAATCAGATAAACTACTTTTACGTGGAACAACAGCAAAATGGAAAAATGGACCATAAAAAGAAACAATGCATAATGTATGAAAGTGCAAAATAACAGACCTGTAGCAAGAAAGACAGAAGTGGAAAGAGTCTGACTGAGATGAAACTGGAATGGACAATAAGAAAAAGAAGGGTTGGTGCGGAAGATTAAATAAAAAAACAAGGTGGGAGAAGAGGAAATAAAGAGATGGAGAGAAAAGAAATAACAACATTAGTCAATCAATTGAATGAATGGCATTACTGGAAAAATATCCAACTTAAAATGTTTCTACCACAGTTCTGTCTTTGTTACCAATGCAAAACCAACTTGTTTTATGCACTAAATAATAAATATACATTCAAATTAAAATGTTTGAGACTTTTATACTCCCACACGATACTTCTTTGTAATAAATTAGGGTAAATTGCATTGGAAACAAAGAAATTAGAATGGAAAGAGGATGAGTATTTTGTATTGAATGAAATGTAATATTGAAAACATTGGTCATGTAAAATAATAGATTTCATATCTTACCAGGTGCTGGTGGAGTGTGGAGGTAAACTTCTTCACTGTACTCTCCAAACCCGGCCTTGTTGCAGCCTCTCACCCTGAGCACATACACACTGTCCATCTGCAGCTGATCAACCACAGCGTTGGTCCCTCTCACTTCGTCCAGACGCAGCCACGATGTCGCAGCGTTGGGGGATCTGGTGCCGCCCCATGTCGCTGCTGCTCCCCCCGCTCGCCGCTGGTATTCGACAGAGAAGTGCCAAGCCGGGGCCGAGTCCTGAGGGAGGCGCCAGCACAAAAACAGCTGATCGTACGCAAGTGTCTTCTGAGTGTCGATGACTGGAGCCAGTGGGGCTGTGGAGAAGACAAAACAACAGAGGCAGGTTAAGTCATTTACAGTCATTTCAGTATACTTTAACACAGTTCATATCAGAGGAACAAAGGTGCCCACCATGTATGAAATCCAAGCTGTGGATGAGTTTAACCTCTTTGGACGTGTCCAGATGAAAGTGTCTGAAGGAGGTATCAGCTGAGAGAGTGAAACATTGAAGGTTTTCTATGGCCTTCCCTAACCTGGAGAGTGAGAGACACACAGATGTCAGATAACCATATCTTACCAATTCATTCCTCTTAAATGTAGAATTCAGCTGACTGTGTGTTTTACCTGCTGTGAGTGACTCTGGCAGCCTGTACAAAGCAAGGTTGATCGGTCTCCTTGAGCAGCTCCTGTGTGTAGGCCATCAGGCCTGCATGCTCCAGCAGGCCCCTCCTCTCTGACACCTGGGAAGACAGGGCTTCCCCCTTCTTGCAGTGGGACCCCTCCAGGGCCAGGGCCAAAGCACCCTGACGCTCCGAGATGGCCGCCCCCAACTCTCTGATACAGTGGGTCAGCTGATGCAGGGCCACTGAGCTGTTCGCCTGGAGAGAGACAGAGAGGGGAGAACGTGTTGAGATAAAGAGCAATGACTTGGAATGATAAACACAGAATCAATGTTGTAGCTATTGCCCGCACAAAAGTGTGTCATTGCACTAAAGTCCTAGGCCTCTAGAGGGCCAACTTATTATACCTTTAATAGTTGCTGCTGTAGTTACAGTAAACCGGCAGGATAGGCTATGAATGAATCACCATTGTTTTGAAGTACAAAAGAAGTAGCTTCCTCTCCACTACAGTATGTTGTTGATTGGTTCTAAACAAATATGCTATTTTGCAAGGAGACATAGCTAACATTTCAAGCCAACATCCTGCTTTCACCCCGTTATACAAAAACAACTTATTGGTTGATTGTTTAGACAACAGCACAGGATGAATCACAAAGGTCCTGCTAGTTGCATGGGATAGTAATTTCAACAGAAACGTCTTGCATCAGAGTCTCTTTGGAATACTCTTGCACCAACACAAAGAAGAGGGTTTCACAATAATTGGAAACGGGTTCACCTCCATCTGTTTGTTGGCAGCTTCCAGTTGAGTGATCTGACTCTGTATTGTCTCCTGGTTGGCCAGAATGAAGTTGACTTCCTTGTTAACTTTGTCCTGTAAGGCCAGAAGAGAAGTTGACATTTCAAGGCATGCTAACCTCCAGATCTCAATACAGTCGAAGCAGACTCACCTTGAGGGCCTGGTAAGCCTGTGCTATGGGCAACACTTTGTGCCCATGGTGGACACGACGGAGCTTACAAAGTGGGCACAGTAACTTCTGGCAGTCACGGCAGTACCACAGCAGTCTCTCCTGCTCATGCTCTGTGCACACCAAGACCTAGAGCACAACAAAAGGTTTAAACCACAATGACAATAGAAGGGAAGCTACTATAGTTGATCCACAAAAAACTAAAACAGACAAACCTTTGGTCGAAAGTTGTTGGTGGGTAAAATGTGTTCGTGCTGAGCTCGAGGGGTTCCCCAGGGATGGTAGAGCTTGAAACATTCGTTGCAGAAGTTGGACTTACAGTCAGCGCAGCCCTTTGTAGCCTCCAGAGACTGAGGAGGCTTACAGAAACCACACATGATGGCTATGCTGCCCAGACTCACTGTGTGCCTGTACCTAAAGGGCAGACAGGGCAACAAGGAGATAAGAACTGGGCTAAAGCAACGCAGCAGAAGAAAAAATAGAGAGCCAATAAGGAGCCTTTAAAACTAAACAAAGGGAAGATGGAGCACATCACAGTTTGACCTGCTCTCTTTTCAGTAGTTAGGATTCTAACTCTTTTTACTGCTTGACCTGGATACATCCCCAGCAGCTGCCTTGTTAGTACATCCTGTGCAGTAAAACATGCACCGTCACACTTTTCTGACCAACCCAACCACTGTCTGGGGAGGAAGCAGCTGCACTCATCAAAATGCTGTGTGAGAAACTGGTAAAGTGCCTATCCCCTTCCCAGAACACTTCTTTTTTACAAGCAGCTCCTCTCACTATGATCTCCAACATTTTAACTGATAAGAGAAGAGGATGATTCAAATTAAAGAAGGATATGAAGAACTCTGCTTCTAAACTTCCAGAACATAACTTTGGTTCAATTGCGTGTCTTTCCACAGTTTTGTAGTACAGTACACTGCAGTTTTTGAGCTGTCCCTGCATTCTGCTCTCAGGGTAAGCCTTGAATCAGGAGGAAAGGAAAGATTCATTATTGAAACTCCTTCCAGCAAGTGATTTCCTGTCTCGTTTATTAAGCACTATCGACTAAACCCTTCCTTCGCTGCCGTTCGTTATTACCTGCATGATTGTTGAAAACGTTTTTCTTTATATATAGTTTCTGTTAATGAGCTCATGCCGATACATTATCATAGGATGAGATAACAACGCACCACAAGTCATGTTTGTGCCAGCACCATCAGCTCTGACTACAACACCCGACTACACTCTCTGCTACTAGATTTATGATGTTTGTGTGTAAGCGAACCTCTCCACAATCCGCTCCAGTGTGAGATTGCGGAGGCAGTCTGTCAGGCCTTTCTCTCCGAGCTCCACGTCCTGCTGACAGGAAGGACACGGGAACAACATGGGGGGAAGGGTCGTCTCTTTCCGCCTCCGCCCTGGGTATGTGCCGCACACTGAGGGAAGGACGCAGGTGCAAAGGAAGGGAGATGGTCATGGATAGATAAATAGAGGAGAAAAAAAGAGCAGAACTCAATTTTCCCTAAATTAAATACAAATAGAGCACAGTGATAAATAAATAGGTTAGCTCACTCTGGAGGAAACACTGTTTAACCTATATTCAACAGACCCTTACTGCCTGCTTCACTCTCTTCCACGATGGCCATTGCTCTACATGCACTTAAATAAGTTATGAGATGAATGCATAAAGCCCTGGATGCACAGCAGGATACTGATTTGTCAGCAAGATCATTAATTAAGTCAGATTCGAACTGGTCAGTGGCATCATATCCCGGTTTGCAGTTTTTAAATGATGATGTCACTCTAATATGATTTAATACTGAGATCATTCAGTTTCATTTTCGAAGCTAATTGCATGTTAAGCTGCAAGGCCATTTAAAATGCCCATCAGTTTCCTGTACCAAACACCCATACAAGTAAACTCCTCGTCCTTTCTGCACCTGTTCTGAGGACTCGTTCCAGGCGGTCGGGCGTTCTGGGTGTTGGTCTTCGTGCCTGTCGAGGGGAGCGAGTGTTGGGTGTTGAGGCCGGTGAGTTGGGCTCTGGAGGAAGGTCTGGAGGAGGGTAACCTCTTTGTACCAACACCTCTGCCGCACACAGCAGACACACACTGTGCAGGCAGGGCAGAAGGATGGGCTGCTTCACCATCTCATCACATACCGGGCAACGCAGCTCCTTTTCCATACTCTTCATGTTAGACTGGAGAGGAAATAGTCAAGAAGAGAACTGTGAGGTGTTAAATCGATAAAGGCTGAGTCACTAGAGAAAATGAAGCTGGCTATTTACATTCTGCACCTCCTGCTGTGACCTGAAAATAATGTATATGAGATATGTAGGTGTCAAGAGCGGGAAGGGGAGCAGAAGCAGATGGTTATGTAGGTGGATTTCCGATGTACAGAGCCAAAAAGGGGCAAATGTTAAGGACAAAATAGCATTGCCTGATTTCAAGTGTTAGCCCATCTGCTTTGATATTCAATATTGTCAGCTAACCTCCCCTTCCCTTTGAACCCTTAATATGTCAACTCTGGAATAGGATGCTTTGGGAGCTGACTATGAGGCGTGTTCAAGGGGAAATGTTCAACTCAAAATGAATATATCTCTCGGTTGTTGCAGCTCTGGCCTCGTTTTTTAAGTGTTGCTGGTTGTGGAGGAGGCCCTGTTCCGGTGTTAAAGCTGCTAAACGCAGCATCCCGTTTCTATGACAACGCCATCATCTCTAGTTTCTGATCGTATGCGGCACGCATTTCAGCTACTGCTGTTAGCAACATATTTTGTGGATTAATAATGATTAAAATATCCATGCTTTATATGGTACAAAGATTGGGCTTTGTGCATATTTTGTTGTGGCCTTGCTTTTATGTTTCCACCCACAGTGCTAGATTTGCTGAAAATCAAACCTCTCTTTGATTGGATTGTTGCCAAAATATACTGTAACGAAATAAATGCATCATATTCCTTCATTACGGACACAACCTGTGCATCCATACGAAAAGGATATATGGCTAAATGATGTTCTCTTTTTACATTTAAAACATTTACACAAAACATTTACACTACGCACACGTGGGTTAGATAAATAACGTAATAGCAATTAGAGTCATACTCACACTAATGCGAACCAAAGCGTCCATGATAGAGGTAAAGCTTTGTAACTCCGTTTCTGCCATGGCTGCCAGAGCTCTGCGAAACAAAAGGTAAAATGATTGTTATCTCTGGTGAAAGGCAGGTGCAGGTTGATGTCAGTCGTACAGACCGAAAAGCCGACCCTGGGCCTCGGATAGTGAACCGGACAACAGATCTGCTGTGGCTGGTTTCACTGCTGCTGTTGCGCACACTGTCTGTCTCAGAGCCGCTCGATGAGGATGGGGGGGGGGGGGGGGGGGGGGGGTCCGATTTTAGGCTAGGCTATATCACAGCCGTAATGTACAAGGAATACACATGTTGAAATGCTATCTTATTAGTTGTATTTGACAGCAATCACTAGTTTTAATTGAACAGGTTATATATGATGTATTATTTATTAAACGCCATTTCTCTTTAATACCGTTTAAATATATAATGTTTGAAACGTTTTCGCTTCCTTCTTGTTTTCTCCCAACTACAGCAGCCCTAATACGCAGCTCAGTTTGTCAAAATAAACCTTATGGTTGCTGTTTTCGGAGGTACGTGTCTCTTAACATGTCCAAATGCCAAATTGTTTGTGGCCTAGTGTTCGCAGTACCGTTAGATGGCAGTGTTGTGTAAAAAAACACGAGCAGTCCTCTCTCAATTGTTGTCCGTGTCAGGAACCTTTGGAGGCTGGTCGTTGGTTAAACCGGACTGTATTTACGAATGCACCGGATTATATCGGTTGTTGTAGCAACCGCTTTAAAGCGCAATAGCGTCGGTTTGCATCTGTGGTGTGTTGATGTATTTATATAAATATAAGTTGAAGTAGCGATATGTTTGTTAAAATCTATTAGTCTACGTTCAGTGGCGAGCTGTAGTGATGGTTTGCCTTTGATAAAGTTACCTTAAGTATCACACCTCAGCTAAATGCTAATGAGCCAACTAAGCCAATCCTAACACTGGTTTAGCTAGGCACGTTTACATACCGGTAAATAACGTTGCATTCGTTTGCCCATCGTATTTTAGTGTAAGTTACTGGTTGTTTTATAGTTGCACCATGTCGGCTGTCAGCAGTCTCGTCCCTGCACGCTTCCTGACTCTCACAGCTCACCTTGTCATCGTTATCACAATCTTTTGGTCGAGGGTAAGTAAAGCGTTTTTTGTAAACACATTGGTTGACATTCAGATAATAGTGTTAGGTGTTTTTAATGATAACAAATACGTGTGTGTCATTAAATATACGATCAATTCTCCACTGTTTCTCCGCTTGTTTGTAAGTGTTTTCGATGCTAAGTGGTTTGAAATGTTTTTTCACAGGAACACAACGTGAAGGCTTGCTTGCCTTTGGATTTCACGCAAGAGCAGTATGACGATGAAGACATGAAGTAATAAGACAAACCCATACACAAAGAGAGACATAACTGGCCACACACATGCACACACACCCTCTAATATGTCTCTCTTTGCCTAAGGTTGGTGGTGGGATTGGCCGTCACCCTCGGTCTCTTTGCTGTAGAGTTGGCTGGGTTCTTCTCAGGAGTGTCCATGTTCAACTGCAGCCAAGGTCTCCTGTGTATCCTTTACACTGATAGTGTGGGTCCCTCATAGGTGATTATTCATAAGATAAGACAACCTAATACTCAAATAAAGATAGATTATGAAAGTCAAATAAAGAGAGATATTCAATGTTATCATCCAATAATAATAATAATAATAATGTGCACACAAAAAATAGCAGCTGTGAGATTACAGCAGCAAGTGCATTGACATCTGTCTCCTGGACAAAGGATGGGAGGTGGGATTTTGCAATTTTAGAAATAAAGACAGCCAGCGAATTTGTGTCAAGTAAGTATAAAAACTAGAACAAGTGATATATTAAAAGTCATTCTAGTTGTCAGTTGCAATTCCATGACTTCAAACCTCTGTATATTCGCCTCCTCGTCTACATTAGCAACAGGAGCCCATGCCAGTGCATCAGTGGCTCTGCTTTTCTTTCTATTTGAGCAGTGGGAGTGTGACATCTACTGGTGGATCCTTGCCATTTGCAGGTTAGTGTATACCTACCCAAACGTTTTTCCAAAAAGAGTAATTTTTCCCTGACAGTAACTACACCCAGCACTCGCTGTCCACTGCAGCGCTTCCGTATCCCTGTCTTTCTTTGTAATTGAGAAGTGGGAATGCTGGACCTATTGGGTTATTTTTGCCATCTGCAGGTTGGTGTGTGTTCAGATGATGTATCAGCTTTTCAGAAAGCAAATTCATAGTGTCTCTATACAATTGAGTATCAGTAAGTATAAATGTCTTCAGGCACTGTCCTCACTGTTGCTCTTCTCCCTACATTTCTATGTCTCTCTCTCTCTCTCCCACCTAGTGTGCTACCTGCCTTCGTGGAGATTTTTCTGTTTATAGCTGTTTTTGGACTGAAGAAGAAGCCATTATGAAAGAAACTCCTGAAGCTACAAATGAGTGTGGATGTGGACAACTGCCTCGCTGTATCAACAGACACTGTAGTTACAGAGGGTCTGTGATTCAATGATAATGTGCAGAGTAATGAACTGAAAAACTGTGTTTTACTGAGTTATGTGAATACAGTGCACCAACATACATCAAAGGGATATACAGGCCACTTTCTGTCTGTCGTTTTATATTTTTATACATTTAGGTTTTCATTAACCGTAAACATTGATGTGGTTTTATGTTTGCATTCTATCTGTCAAATTCCTATGGAAGGTCTCGAATGCTATTATAATGCCAAATACATTTTGTATAAATTCTTTCTCAAGCTGTTGATGGTCGCCAATTATTTTTGCTCTGAAACGATTTGGCATTTGTGTTTATTTTTGCCTCTCTGGGACATCTGTTTCACAGCATGTAGAAATACTGCTTTCTTCACCCAAATTAGCAGGCCCTCAAATGTAATACCCTTTTAAGCATTTGAAAATGTTGAGCTTTTGGTTTAGTAAACAGCCTGAGCCTTTTTGTAAATGTTGGAAAGCATCACATTAATGATTTTACAATATATTCATAAAAACGGGGTTACAACAATGACGCAGAGTTTCTATATGATGTTTCCCTACAGCAAATGGGTATCCTATTAAAAAAAAAGCCACTAAATAGCAGAACGAAACCTTTTTGAAGATGCTAATGGTAATACACTAATTTGCAGTACAGGCTTTCCTATTTTAGCAGGAATTCATGGTTTAATGTACGGTTCAAATGTGTCATTAAACAAAATAAAGGGCTTTCATTATTGAATTGTCGATTGTGTACATGTAAAAAAAGTGAATATGAAAAATAAGAACCCGGTGTTACGAGACTTATAACAGGGCGTTTTATTCAGCAGATAAAATAAAAACAATACAAATCTAACCAGCACAACAACAGGTTCCTCTTGCCTCTCTCAAGACTCCGCCCACTGGTCCCACCTGTAATCTGGACCGGGTGGAGAGGGTTTTTAGTTCCTAGATCCGGGGAAGTTAGCTGGCACAACCAAGTGCTTAATTCACCTCTGTTTCCTTACACGGACTCTAATTAAACATTGAAATATGGGTATGTATTGCATGATTATTTTATCATTCAAGTCAACTCAACAAGTGCGTTTGTATTCGTAGATACATTGTTTATTAGTGCCTAGTTCTGTGTTCTAGCTAGCTAGCTAACGTTAATGTTTAGAAATAGATGACTTTATTAGGAGCTATTTATTTAACGAATGCATTATTGTACGTCTGCCACGAGTCACATTTTGTATTGCACTATGTATGTAGAGAGTTGCATCAGCCGTATACATTTGCTGCTACCCTCGGTTGTTTAGCTTATAGCTAGCAGCAATCTGACGGAAACATTTATGAACGAACACTGACGTGGCGTTACGTTATAACGAGTTCGATTTATATTAGTGTTTTTACTAGCTGAAACGAACTAGTTTAGCAGTCAAAGCTATACTTCTGTACTCTACGTACTGTTTTCACTTTTGATTGTATTGATATTACATGTACTTTGTCTCCTATCAGAGAACAATTAAATCAGTTTAGCTGCAGCTGAAGTGTCCTGCCTCTTCCGGTGTATAACTCCAGCATACTTTTCCAATTATTTTTAGATAAGCCATTGTCTTCCTTGATTCTTGTCTTAACATTTGTGTTTGAATGATCCCTCTTTGTCTTGTAGCAGTGAACACAGGCACCTCTCTAGTGCTGTCCAGTCTGCTGTCAGTGCTGGTATTTGCTGGCATGCAGATGTTCAGTAAGCAGCTGGGATCCACTGAGTGGCTCACCATCGTGGGGGGTTTCCTGGGCTCAGTCCTCTTCATCTGCTCCCTCACTGTATCCTATTGACCTGTTTCAATCCCTGTTGTCAATTACTAAACTGCAACAATCTTTATTACTTCATTCTTTGTTTAAATGTAACTTGTTGTAATCATCACCCAATACTATTGCAGCAAAAAGGTACACACCATTTCTCTGTGTTCCCTGTTTTCTGTATGCATGTACATACACAGATACCACTGAGGAGATTCCCCTTAACTTTATATCCAGGCATTTAATAATCTGGAAAATCTGATTTTTGGGAAGGGATTCCAAGCCAAGATATTCCCAGAGAGTAAGTAATGACAACACTTAAATCAGACTCCTGTCGTCACTCCAGTGTGTCTTTTTCTATTTATATTTTGCTGACATATCCAAATATTTCTCCTTTCATATATCCTAACGGGTTATTTATCTCTTCCAGTTCTGGTGTGCCTGTGCCTATCGCTGTTTGCCTCTGGACTGGTACACCGCGTCTGTGTCACCACATGGTATGTGACAATACCTCTGCAGATCACAAAGACCATAATCAGCTTTATAAAACACAGTTAAAAGTAGTCTCTAAATTAATTTGATTATATTGCTTTTTCTTCTTATTTCTCTTCCAGCCTGATATTCTCCCTCTTTGGCGTGTACTACATCAACAAAGTATCTGCTGCGCTCTACCAAGCCGCTGTTCCCGCGGTAACACCAGCCAAGGCTGCCAGCAAGGGCAAAAGGAAGAACTGATGAATCTGTTGGATCCCACTTGCATCCAGTGAATCAGTTAATAGTACCCAGGTGCTGATGGCCCAGTGCAACAAAGAAGTTGCACATTTTGTAGTATTGTCTTCAATCCATAACCCTTTGTGTATTTCACTAGACTTTTTAAAGATTATTTGGAAAGCAACAAACAGTTCCATGACTTCAAGTCAGTCATAGTCCTTTTTTTTTTACAATGATCTCGTGTTTAGGGTCATAACTAAAGACAAACAGCTGTCAACATTCCATTGATAACCTTTTCCTCACCACTCGTTTTACACTGATTGCAAAGAGATTGAAACATCCCAACCTGTGTATTCATCAGCACATGAAGTTGCTTCTTTTGTTTAATTCATTTTGTAATTAAACTCTGTAAAAAGACTTTTAAGGTGTTTTAATTTTGTCAAACCACATTTGTGTACTTAGAAAATGGCTGTGTATTGTATGTAGTGTAGTGTATGTATTCAGGTGGGTGTGGTGATATCCTAAAACATCTGTGAGCGGACATGCTGTTTAAAAAAAGGCAGGGGAGGGAGAGACACATATTCAGTTTGTCTTGGTCTTCTGCCAACAGTGTTCCACAAAGTAACCATACCATCGATGCTTGATGATGATAAGTAAACCGGTTATGATTGTCATGTGTGTGAATGTGTAATGTCAGGACTGCCGTGATTCACAAAAGTCTTAGAGTAATTGTATTTATGTCTCTGTTCTTGGTCCCCTCCTCTTCTCCTTGTACACAAACTCGCTCGGATCAGTCATTAGCCCGCATGGTTTTTCATACCACTGCTACGCTGACGACACCCAATTAATCCTGTCCTTTCCCCGCTCAGAGACCCAGGTCGTCGCACGCATCTCTGCTTGTCTAGCTGACATCTCTCAGTGGATGTCTGCTCACCACCTCAAGCTCAACCTTGACAAGACTGAACTGCTTTTCCTTCCGGGAAAAGATTGTCCCACTCTTGACCTAACAATCAACATCGGCACCTCATTTGTTTCCCCGACTCAGACTGCAAGGAATCTGGGTGTGACCCTAGATAACAACCTGTCCTTCACTGCAAACATCGCTGCTACAACCCGTTGCTGCAGATACACGCTTTACAACATCAGGAGGATGCGTCCCCAGCTGACACAGAAAGCGACGCAGGTTCTGGCCCAGGCTCTCGTCATCTCACGCCTAGACTACTGCAACTCCCTCCTGGCTGTTCTACCTGCATGTGCCATCCGACCTCTGCAGCTCATCCAGAATGCAGCGGCTCGTCTGGTCTTCAACCTTCCTAAATTCTCCCACACCACTCCGCTCCTCCGCTCCCTTCACTGGCTTCCGGTAACTGCTAGAATCCACTTCAAGACAATGGTACTTGCGTACCATGCTGTGAATGGATCTGGCCCTTCCTACATCCAGGACATGGTTAAACTGTACACCCCAGCACGTGCACTCCGCTCTGCATCAACCAAACGGCTCGCTGCACCCGCACTGCGAGGGGGACCCAAGTTCCCATCAGCAAAAACATGTGGGTTTGCTATCCTGGCTCCAAAATGGTGGAATGAGCTCCCCATTGAAATCAGGACAGCAGATAGCTTACACACCTTCCGGCGCAGACTGAAAACTCATCTCTTTCGACTCCACCTCGAGCGATATAATTATTAACAAAGCACTTAAAGGACTGGCTTACCTAAAGCCAGTTGAGTAGCACTTGAAATGTTGTTTCTCTATGAAACCTGATGTACTTATATGATTCTGTTTTCTTCAAGTTTGTATTTTGTTGGTCGAACGCACTTATTGTAAGTCGCTTTGGATAAAAGCGTCAGCTAAATGCAATGTAATAATGTAATGTAATTTAGACAAAATATGGAATGTGTAATTGTAATGCACACAGGCTGACACAGCATATGGTTTAGTCTATCTATCAAAAGTTCATGTTTTCACAGAGAATGCTAACTTGTGATTTGAAATGATATGGCCATGGTGGGGACAGTGTAAAACCCTGGCATGTGGACAGGTAGTTACTTGTCAGTGACTTCACTGTTTGCTCAAAGACAGGTGAGTGATGACGTTGAACATTGAAGTGATATTCTTTAGGGTGGTGAAAAGTACAACATGCCATCAATGCCAAAAGGTTAGACAAAAAATATTAGATTGACAAGATAAAATTAAAAAAGATGAAATCACTGAGGATCTCAAGTTATACTAAAGAACAATTCTAGTAAAGCTGCTCAGTTGCCATCACACCGTATGGTGCTTCTGGACAGCTTCCAAGTGTGACTGTCTGAACAGGGCGTGCCTGATGAAGGATCTTCCTTAGATAAACGGAAGGCTTTAGATAGAGATGGTTGAAGACATCACTTTCTACCTTATTTTAATCAATGTCATCACAAATCAATTCATGCGAGTTGGCTGTTCGAAAGCAGAGAAGAACAAGTACGTCTTTTTTAAATGCGTAATACCGTTATGTTGCCTATAACAGATCAAGACTCAGGCATGAGAGGCTCGGGCTTGTTCGTACACAGCATGTCCCAGCAAATATAGGATATGTGTGTGTCATTCAGCAGAACTGCGTCATTGCGCTGTGCTTTACCCACCTTAATCAACAACTTTGAATAACTGATTGTTTTATGCAGATTTTCCTGATTTGGGAATTGGACCTGAACTTTTCTAAAGATAACATTATCTTGAAAAATCTAAAGGAAATATATATGAACAGTAAGTAGCATTAGTAGATGCATCTCTGTATTTCTTGTGGCGAGAGTTGTGGGAAAACTTGGATAGTATGCTCATGGCTTTTTAAGTTAGCTCCCTCTTTCTCCCTCCCTCTTTCTCTCTGTCCCTCCCATCATATTGGGCGTTGCCCAGCGGACTATAAATCTTGAATACATATCCAGTGAGCGTCTGCACTCTTCACTGAATCTCAAACTATACTTTCTGCCTCTTGGTTTCCTGGTAAGTTTGTTTTAATTACTCAAAAACGTACTTATCTGCTTCCACTGTTGTTTCGTGTTCTTAAATAGCTAGTTTCGACGAAATCTCAAAATCTATTATGAAGATTAAAGATTATTCTTCTCGGTTGCCTATGTCTTTTAAGGCTATGTTTAAATGTGGCTAAATAAAACTATTTTTCTTTAAGTTTAGTCTGTTATTTCAACATATTTCCTTGGTGAGCTTGGGCGTTGTTGGCGCATTACGCAAGTAGCGGCTCATCCTGGGTCTGTTATTCTAGGCTAAGTTATTTCCCTCTTTTTCGTCTATTCGATTTCTAAAGATCTTCGGGTTTTGTTTTGTTTTTTGTTTTGGAACTCAGCCAGAAATGGTTCAATTGAAGGAAGGGGAGAGGAAGAGTGGGAGGCTTGAGATAAGGATTTTGGTTTATGTGCCAGAAAATATTGTCTAATGGTTAAATAATTTGCTCTGAGTTCCAGTAAGACCAACGCCCACTTTCCACTTACCAATATGTTAGTTTTGGCTTAAGTAACCTCAGTGGTGGACAACGATTTCATATATTTGTCTAAGCAAAAGTACCACACTGTAGAAATCCTCTGTTAAAAGTCCTGTATTCAAAATCCTATTTAGAAGAACAGTAAGGACAATAACTCTTGTACTGAATGTATGTGTCGCTTTGGATAAAAGCATCTAACAAATGACATGTAATGTAATGTAACTCTTAATGCAGAATAGCCCATTTCAGAATAATGCTGTTTTGCTGAATTATAATAATGTATACATTAATATGAACATTGCTATGTTGCAGCTGGAAAAGGGGTGTGGTTTTCTTTTTACATACTGCAGAGAAGTTGAACAAGGGATCAATACAGTCTTATATGTATCCATTATAACATCTTAAATTGTAGTGAAGGGTGTGACGTAGCATAGCATGTCATACTTAGTTAAAGTAGGCCTACAATGTAATTAAGTGTACTGCTTTACTGCACTGCAGTCTTATCCTTCATTGAAGTTCATGTGCAATGTCAAAATGTGTATCGTCTTTCCTCCTTTCAGCCCACACTTCCGCAGCCATGACTGAGTTAGAGAACTGCATGGAGAGTCTGATCAAGGTGTTCCACCGCTATTCTATTGAAGACGGTGATGCAAAGACCTTGAGCAAGAAAGAACTAAAAAAACTGTTGGAGAATGAGTTGCCAACCTTTCTGAAAGTAAGAATCCTCTTCCTTATATCAAATATTATCTATATCCCTGGTGTACTCCTATGTAACTGTACTCACTTTAACTTTGCACCCTGAACATTTCTCTTTTGCTAATGTTTTTTCAGACCCAGCAGAACCCCAAAACTGTGGATTTCATTTTGAAAGATTTGGACCAAAACAAAGATGATAAGTTGGACTTTGAAGAGTTTCTTCCCCTTGTCGTCGGCCTCTCAATGGCCTGTGAGAAGTGTTACATGCTCCACGAAAAGAAGAAGACCAAGAAGTGATGAGAAAATATAAGGAAGAATTATGATGTTGAATGTTTTTAGAGTACAACATGAATCACTAATGTGGGACAGAATCCCCAAATAAAAACCTTTTACAAGATTTTACCTCCTGTCTGTTTTTGAGCATGTCGTGAACAAAGCACTTTTCCAACCTTATTCATGGAATCTTTCTTATGGTTATACACTCTTTACTATCTATTTCGTGTTCACATGAAAACATTACAGTCAAAAAGAGTTCTCCCAATGCCAGATACATATACCTCAGAAAGTCCAGAGAATATTGAGGAGTTCACATCTCAGATACATAATTTTAAGCATAAATATCAATGTTCCCTTGAGATAGCAGATTTTATACAGTATTTAAATGGATCAATATGGGAATGTGCTGTACTCAGATGTTGCAAGATGAACATGGGTGCAGCACCACATTCCGTTATGGCATGAGTTAGGGTTTTGTAAAATAAGCATGCTTCTTTAATTTAGATTCCATTATCCTATTTCCTTTCTTGCACATTCTTTGGTTATATTTTTCTCACACACACACACACACACACACACACACACACACACACACACACACACACACACACACACACACACACACACACACACACACACACACAGGGGCTTAAATGGACATCCTTGAAAACAACATTGCACCAACCAACACAGAATTCTAGAATAAGTATTATGAAGTAGCTAAAAGGAAGGTCAAATGGAATTGCACATCGACCATAGACCTTGTGTGAGGAGTATAAGGGAGATTTGAATAGCAGGTAATCGTGATCCAAGTTTTTCAAGGAAATAATATTTCAAAGCCTTTGGGCAATGATTACAAAAACCCTCTCTGTCTTTTCAGCCTGCTTCTTTTGAACGTTGGCATTCACCAGCAGAGAGATCTCACTGTTGAACACACCCAGACTCTCAAATACATTTCAGAGGGAAGGAAACATGC